TATATATATATATTGGTTAGAAGTCAGAATCCTATCGAAGGCTCTTGAGCTTGAATCCTGATAGACAAATGTTGTTTTCTGAAGAAAAGAAAAATGTGTTCGTGCAAGTAGTATAATTTGTTTTTTGTTTTTGTTTTTGATGAGTGATATTACTCTACATATACGAACAAAGTATTTAATTAATCTATGTTTAATTTACAATTGAAGAAACTTGCGATATTAACTGCATGAACGGTGGAGTTTGTGTCATTTTGGATTATGGTATCGAGAACTGTCAGTGTATGACTGGTTTTTTTGGACCAACATGCAATAGAGGTAAGCTTTTACAGTTAAGGCTTAAATGTGGATTACGCATGCAGCTAAATATAATAGTTATCCTAGAGTGCAGAACATTGTTAACATTTTATACATGAATGCCATGTAAAAGGATTAGACAGTATGCATTTTATTTAATTCAGTTAGACAGATACATAATTATGTATGTTTTAGTGTATTTTATTTGTTAGCTTTTACTATTTATTGGCTATCTTTACGTTTAATGTTGGAGTGCACCAACAGTAACCATGACAAAAATTCTGTGAGAACGCATAGGTTTACCACCTGTTAAATATCCTCTATCATGCCATATGAATAAAGCAAGACTGAAGGTGCATTAACATGATTCACACCAAATCCGAATTTTCGGATCGGGACATCTGCTGAAGCGATTAATAAACGAATCAGTGTGTAAGAAACAGGGACGCTGCAGCTCAGCCTTCAAAAACGCGACCCGAATTTATGTTCGGATCCGATGTGAATGCAGTTTAATAGGAAGATTACTAAACATTTATAAAAAGAAATAATTAACAGCAAAAACACTCAGCAAACGTTAAGATAGATGTGAACATCAGTCATGAGTTTAAGTTTGCAAATGTGATATTGTATATTTTGTCCTCATGTTATTAATGATATTAAGACAAAGAAAATAAGATAGCATTAACAAAAAGAGACTATTATTTAATAATTTTAACATTAAGCAGATATTCTAGTATTATTTAATGACACAGTTTATTAAATTTTTTAATTAATTTTAACATATTAACATTATTGTATTCAAAGAAAAACGTATTAACTTATTAACTAAAAGCATGTTGTAAATCTTTCAGGTATTAGAAAGTCGTCTTTAGTTTGAATGAGAATCTGTCAAATGCAGTAAATCAGTTTTGAAGAAGCTAATAATGTAATATTATAATATTTAAAACTACAAATATAAGATGTTTTGGTAGTTACTATTAACATGTGAATATATGCAGTTGATACCTGTTCAACTTCATACTAGTATATATAGAAACTAGGTGATTATTTTGTATTATCCAAAATGTTTATACCAAATTCAGCTGATCTTTGGTAGGAATAGGGAACTCATTATCAAATATTGCTGGTAGAGGAAAGTATAGAAGAATTATAGTTGTATTGTGTATTTCTTTAGATCAAGCCCAATGTGATTTCGAAGATCCAAACCTTTGTTACTTTGTACAAGATGAATCGGATGACTTTGATTGGATAAGAACATCTGGATCAACACCCTCATCTCGTACTGGCCCTGAGTATGACCACACATATGGAACATTACAAGGTAATACAACATTGACATTTTTCATTCATAAAATCTAAAATAAAATTGTAAAATTATCAATGAAAATATTGCAGAATCTGCATATAAAATAAAACAAGATAACACAATTATAAATAGATGTAAAAGAAAATTCTATGAAATCAAAACGTTTATTTCATTTGATTACAGGTTTCTACATATACATTGAAACAAGTCCGAGAAACCTCAACGACATCGCTCGCCTTTGGACAATGACATATCCTGCAACACACGGCACATGCGTCCAGTGGTTCTACCACATGTACGGGGCCACTGTGAACACATTGAGTGTGTACATAGTCAATACAGCAGATACTCTTGGTACACCTGTGTGGTCAATAAGAAACGAGCAAGGAAATATTTGGCGACGTGGACAAATTTTTGTGGAAACAAGTAGTGCCTACCAGATAGTGTTTGAAGGAATTGCAGGAAGTAGTTATACAGGAGATATTGCTTTAGATGACGTCAAGATCACCGATGGAGCATGTGTGCGAAATGGTATTATACACGTTCAACTTCTTACACTTCGCAGCCATAAACACATAGGCGTAGATTCCGGGGGGATGGGGATATATCCCCCCAATATTTGACAAGGGAGGGGGGTGGTCCATTGTATCATCCCCCCAATATTTTGATTATGTATGGGATAAAATGGAGCTTTACACACTTCAAGAGACTGTCACAGAAATAATTTGCACTGTCTTATGCGCTTACAAAGATGAAAATTAGCATAATGTATTAATGCTGATAACAAAATTATTTTATCTGGTACCAATCTAAGCTCTTCATTCCTTAGATGTTAGATTTGCTTGCAAAGAGAGCCACATTTCACACTGAAGGGTGTGTACGACATCAGTAATGTTATGTCAATTCCAAGAATGTTTAAGATTATATCGGTTGATGAGAAATTTATTGATTAGGACTATAATAGCAAATTCCATCAATTTATTTTGCAAAAACAAGGTTTCCAGCTTCAGAGGAGGGCACATCCCCTGTCCGCACAAGGGCACACATTGGCGCTAACACCAGGCGCGTAGCAGGGGTCTTGGGTCAGAGTGGATATTTATTTTTTTATTTTTTTTATTTTTTATTTCAACCATCTTTAAAGAGGGTAACCCTTCTAATTTAACCCAGTAGGTTAACTGATATTCAGGGGCCCTCTTTAATAATATTAAAGAACAGTACAAACAACATCATTACAACATAATAATAATAATAATAATGACAATAATAATAATAATAATAATTATAATAATAATAATAATAATAATGATAATGATAATAATAATAATAATAATAATAATAATAATAATAATAATAATAATAATTTATTATTAACAACAACAACAACAACAACAACAACAACATACAATCCTCATTTCCCGGTTAGTAATTTACCAT